CCTTGTTCATGAAAACAATACCGTCCACATGCATTTGCAGGTACTGTGGGCGGCAGGAGCAAGAGATCGATGATGGTAGTTACGGCTCAAGAAAAAAACAACACGATTTTATTCTTTTCCTGGATAAATCTACCTAACTTTCTATCTTCAAATGTGAAGAGGAGTGCCGCCTATTGTATTCTCGATTGGCTTCCCTCAGTAGCCCAAGCCCAACATTTCGATCAACAAGTCTCCCAGTGTTTTTTGAGTACCATCCAAGTCTACTTTCGTCAGCTTCCCTCCTCCTTCAGCTCCTTGGTCCAGATCTTCTGGCATTAGCACCCTTCCGTGCTCGGAGACTGGCGAAAGAAATATATGCTCTAACGCGTTCTGTGCCTTCAGCCGGCTTTCAGGTGGATATCGAAGGAGACCGCGCAGTAAATCTACCGCGGAAGCAGAACAATTCCCTTCCGAGGGCAAATTAGGGAAAACCTCTTCATCGAGTCCGACTCCATCAACTTTTTTAAACTCGACTTTTTGTGCATCAGGAAGAGCCTCAAAACCTACCCAAGCCCAGGTCTTCTCATTTTCCTCTTCATCCTTGGGTTCTCGAGGAGTACCTAGAATTCTGAAAATGCTCCAAGCCAAACCGATTTCGCCTCGGGAAGCATCGAACAGCGATTCACGAAAACAACGAGTCAAAGGATCCGAGGAATTTGAGCTGGGGAAGGAAGACGATATGAAGGAAGGATAATCCTCGGATGACGGGGAAGCCGGAGCAAGCTTTGTAAAAAATTCTGCAAAGAGCGCACCTAGACTCCAGCGGTCGATTGCGTACGGGTCATATGAGCGCGTCCCAAATAATAACTCCGGGGCACGGTAAGGACTGCCACTAAGTCAACCGTCATTTCGACTTGAATGAGGGAAACACAAACCCAGTCGATACTTCGAAATACATTTTGTTTTTTTCTTCTGGCCACATATCACCTTTTCTGTCGGCCATATCTTCCTCTACTTCATCCCAAGCAATCCCAAAATCTATGAGTTTCACGCGTCCGGAACGGGCTAATAGAACGTTCGCCGGCTTGATATCGCGATGAGCAATGCGATGCGTATGCAAGTAGACTACGGCATGTAGAATTTGTGTCATGAGAGAGCGAGTAAGGTAAAGAAATTTGAACGCTTGTGAGTCCGTTTTGGTCGTGCGTAGCCGCGGTACAAAGGTCACCGAATTCAAGAGGTCCGTCAGTGAATGGGGAATAAATGGCATCCAGATATTCATCGTGTTCTGAGAACGATCCAAAAGGGTATCGAGCACTGAGATAATCTGGGATCAAGACAGCTATGTACGTGATGAGATGGAACATCGGAATAGCGTACATTTGGATGAGAAAGACGTTTGAGTATCCTGCATTCCTTCATAATATCGTGCGGCTCTTTCGCCCATCTTTTGATAGTTGTGCATGTCTTAACAGCGACGAATTGGGGCTCGCTGTAGTTATCGACCAATGCCAATGTTTTGGACACCGTCGAGGCAAGGCCTTCGGCGATGATTTCAAAGTCTTCGCCACTGCCTTCACCGTCATCTGAATCGACAATATCTTGGATATCGCCAGCTTCCTGTTAAGAATTCGTGAGTTTGGTGGCTAGAATCGGGATGAAAGGATCTTCACTAGCGTTGAGAACATGGTGGTCGCAGGCCATGTGCTGATCAGCGCTTCTTTCTCTCTCTCCATTTCGTTCATATGTCTGAAACCCAAGAAGGAGCTAGTAGCAGTATGTATTTTTCTTTTTGTTCGCCGCTCCCTGTATGCAATAGATTGATATGGCTAGATGAGCGATTACTGGCTGCAGCAAGGACAGACGATGAAGATATGCTACTAGAGGTTTTTGAAAACGATGATTTCGATATAAACTTTCAAGATGGGCAAGTCTTTTTGCTCTTCTCATTTGGTTGATACTGATAGGAATTATTCCACAGGCTCGGTAATACAGGTACGAGTTCGCCTTTATGCGATGATCACACCTGTTCAGCTCGCATGAACCAGCTTTACACATCGCGTAAGTCGAGCTTTCAGAGAACATGATCATCAATCTGAGCCAATTCTCAGTGTCCAGAATGGTTCCGTTGATGTCCTAGAACATATTCTCTCCCATGAAGGATGTGATGTTGACCCAATTAATCGGATTAATCGTGCCACTCCTCTTCATCTTGCTTGTCAACTAGAAGACGACGGTCTACGCTCATATGTTGTTGGATCCCTCCTTGATGCAGGTGCAGACACCAGCATACGGGACAAGAAGGGCGAGCTGGCCCTAGACTTTGTTCCTCCGTCTGATGAGGATACGAGGAAGTTGTTTAGAAAGGCTCAAGCGACTGCGACGGTGTCGCAGGACGATATTGCCAGTGGTGAGTATTCAAATGAGCTAGTTGAGACCGCGTTTGACGCCATCTCAGATGACGAAGGAGAAGCGGGTTCTGGCTCAGGTTCGGGATCCGACGAAGATTAGACCTTTGACTTGACACCAGGGTCAAATTTCTGTACTACATATATCTTGGGATCTAACATATAAGATGTATGACGAGTAATGGTCAACGACGGACGAGGCTTGAAGGACATCGTCACTTACCAGGTACACCCCATTCACTGCCCAGGCTCTTCCGAGTACTGTAAACGTGCCGCCAACCTTTGAATGCGGCCATCCCTAGACATTGATGTACAAACTGCTTCCAGCGGTAAGGCACCAGTGAGGCCGCTGAGACCATTGAGACTCTATCTTTAGTCCGCGACAGTAGGAATGCTGAAAGAGCTTCTAACTCCGTAAAGAGAGTGTAATGCTCCTGTAGATGAGTTGAGTCTTAAGGAACTGACGCACGAACGACTGATACATACATTTTACAACCTGGATGTCAATTGTCAGTAGTTGTTCGGTGATTGCAAAGGGACAATCAATATTTTTTTCTTTTCTTATCTGTCCTCCCATGTCCCTCCGAAACATATCAAGTCATTTCTCGAAAAACCTATATGCTCAGCTATGACAAGGTCAGGTACACGGGTTTTCGACAGAAAGGATTCCAGACGTCAAGGCCTCTTGAGCCCGTGGAAAGAGCTGCGTAAATCGAGCGTAAATTTGTTGAAAGGTGCCCACGGGACTTTCGTAAAAGATGGCTTTGCCTTCGTCACTGTCTTGTCTCACTGTCCCTCTCTGGTAGCCACCGGTACATCCACACGCGCGCCAGGCGGAAGTTGACTTTCGTTAACTTCAAGATCTCAGTGACACGGTGAACAGACAAAACGTCTGATTCCTGATGCATTTCAATTGCCTGTAAGTTCTGCAAGCGAAGCGGTATTCCAATTCTGTCAGATTCTCCTTCAAGTTGAAACGTTACTTGAACGCTGATGACGTGAATATTGATTCTAACATGCTTCCTCATTCGCAGTCATTACTCTGAGCCAATGGCACCTCTCGCGGAACCCCTTGCAAGGGACGCATGTCGACGGCTTCCTTTTCTCTAATGCCAATAAGCTAGACAGGTGCATCGTGCAATTAGCTAAAGCCGAGCAGGAACTGCCTTTTTTGTGGCGATTGAATGAAGAAGCTGGAACGAGGGTACAGAAACTTTTGCCGAAACTTTCCAATTACTTATTCCGAGGCACCAGGCGGAGTAATGAAGGTGCTATAAAAGCAAGGTAGTCGAGGCCCTATTCCTTCAGCTCACAGCAGTTCCCCGCTTGTTAACAACTATGCGTTTCTTTGCCTTCCTTGTCGCCGCCTTCAGCGTTGGAGTTCTCGCACAAACCGATTCTTCCAACACTACCGCCGCGCAGAGCTCTGGTGTCTCCACTTTCGCCCAGAACACTGTGAGCAGCACGCCTTGAGACCGGTGATTCCAGCCATTTACCTTGCTTTCATTTTAGCTCTCGACCGCCCTCGGCGGACTCCTCACCCCTCAGAACCATTATGGTGCTCCCATCCCGCCTTGGCAGCCTAACTGCAAGCCCGGTTGGTATTACGGGCAGAACCCGGGTGCCGTCCTTGGATGGGTCATTCCTTGGTTGTTAGACGAGGTTTGTGCCACCTCTCTACACCTGCTGCCAGACTAAACTTTCTGCCCAATATCTAGCTTATCTGTGAAATCCTCGACCTCCTCCCCTTCTGCCTGCACTGCCCCAAGCCCCAGCCGCCTGCGCCTAAGAGCCCTTGGGTCCCGACGTTCAGTAATCTTACTGGGGCGACTCAGGCCAGTGATTACTTGACGTTCGGCTTGGTCGATACTATCGAAGGTCAGTTTTCATTATTTCGCACGCCACTCGAAAGACTGAACCTCCTGGGTGGTTGTGTACAGACTGCCAGACTATGTGTCTCGGCGTTCAAGGATGCGCGTTCATCAACAGTGAGTCTCATTTGCGGTATCAACGACAACGAGAAGCTTATCATTCCTTAAGCTTACCACGACAACAATGGCAAGGTTTGTACCAGTTATACGGTCAGAAGTCGTCCCATAACTAACAAAATGCAATGCAATATAGAACGGAAGCCCTCTGTTGACCTGCTCACTTTTCTCTCAGTGCCACGATGCCAGTGACGCTGACAACTTCGGTCTGGATCAGATTTGATTCCTTGAGGATTAAACAAAATACTCACAAATTTCACAGGAGGCCAAACCCAGCCCGATGGAAGCGTCGACTTCATCACCGATAGCGATGGATTCTGCTACGAACCCTCCTCTTAAATTTATTGACTTCGCTCATTACGGAAAAGTTGACTACTTCTTAGTATCAACGCCAAAAGTAATGGATGGAATTTTCTGTTTTCTGGGTTTTTTGGGGAACTTTGGTAGTCACATTTAATTTAGTATGGCTGTAAATGTGATGATGTGTTTCTGCGTCAGACAAGTGTAAGAGAGCTGAGAACTTTTCGGGGTGATCGAGGACCAGTTTTTCCCTCAAGGGACTAGTAACAAAAGTAAATTTATCTCAAACATCAGGCTCCAGCGACAGTACAAAAACTACGATCACTGCTCCCTGCAAGGCTCGAACTTGCGACCTCGAGATTATAAGACCAACGTCTCTCACGAGTATGAGACTCGCGCTCTACCGACTGAGCTAAGGAAGCAGTCTGTTAAAGCTCGTGAGGCACATACTCGTAAGCTATAGAAGCTAAAGCAAGGTTGAATTATAATTGCACTCAAGATAGTACAGCGACAGATACAGAATCAAGAAAAAATAAGAATGGGAAAAATTATAATAATAAAGACTATCAGGCAGGGTGAGCTAGTTTGTCAATTCTACGAAGACGACTCTGCCGGACTGGACGATGAACTAGCTTTCGATGCATTCGAAGGATGAGCACCACCCGTAGGACGAGCAGTCAATGCATGGTTGTCGATGGAGATACTCTGAGTAACATTGGCAGTCTTGTAGATACCAATAAGGCGATGACTCAATTCGAACATGTCGTTTCTACGATGCAGATGAGTACAATGTAGGCAAAGAATTGGAAGAACACCTCGTACCGCAGGGAGATAATGATGAACTGGGCGTTTTTCGTCCTATCCTTGATATAATTCGCGATGATAGATACGTTTCGGAAGTCAAGAGCGGCATCAATTTCATCCATGAAGTAAAGAGGGGTAGGCTATAAAAACGAAGGCTCAATATTGACGTAGGTAAGCAGAGTGTTGGACTCGCCTTGAAAACATGTAGAGCGAAGACCAGGGCGAGGGAACTCAGGGTCTGTGTCACGAAGTAGTCAGGACTGCTCTGAATCTGCGGAGAAACCACAGTACCTTTTCGCCACCAGACAAATTAGAAATGTTCTTCCAGCTCTTCTTTGGAGGCATGACACTGAAGATAATTCCTTCCGCAAAAGGATCCATGCTGTCGACCAGCTCCAGTTCGGCATTCCCTCCTTGCGTGATCATCTAGATCTGATATTATTTCTTTATCCGGGAGAGATGGAAATGAGGACCACTTGCCTGATACATCTCTTTGAGCTTGAGCGAAATCGTACTGAAGCCGGCCATAAACTCATCCAGCCGCAGCTTACGAAGATCTTCGTACGTCTTTTTCTGGCTATCACGTAAAGCAACGACCTTCTCGAGATCATCGTGGCGACTTAGATATTCTGCTTCACGACGCTTATACTCTTCGAGAACATTCAGGTTGGGTTTTGACCGCTTGATTTCATCTGGGTAAAGAATGAACACGAAAATAGATCTTTCTATCAGATTAAACATACCTTCCAGAGCTTGTATCTCAATCTTCATGTCTCGCTCGTTAGCCTTCGCCAGCTCAGCCTTCGTTATAGCTGGAAGATCGTTGCGCCCGGTGCGCCCGTCACCTTCTGGAGCCTCTGTCGGTTCCGCTTTGACGGCGGCTTCCCGGTTCTCCAGATTACTATCAGGATTTTGGTGTTCTGGCCCCGCTGTATCGTCTTCCTCCCCTTCCTCTTCCTCATCATCACTACATAGACGATGGACGATAAATGGGTGGTGACAGGAGATAAATGGCAACTTACTCGACCTCCTCCAAAGATAGGGCATCATGCATTTTCTGGAAGTGATCCAGTTGACTTCCGCAATCTTTCAAAACTTTCGCATAACCTTCGATAGCTTTTTGAAGCTTAGTCTATCGGCGAATGGTCAGATAGTAAGACTAGCTTCTACTTTTCCATAGTACTAACCTCTGTTGCTCGGAATGCTTCGAGCTCCTCGGCAGTGTGGTCAAGCTCTTCCTTTCGTTCTTGCAATATCTCCCGCTCATTATCTGCTTTTTGCTGGATGGCCTCACACTGCTCCCTCAATTCCTCAATAAAGCCTTGAGCTTTGGCCAGACCCTCGTCAAGCTTCGCTAATTCTTCCTCTATTTGGTGAAGGTCAGCCGAGTCGCGGTCGACGGCGTGTTGATGCTTGACGATGTCCTTCTCCGCTTTAGCTTTGGAGACCTCAGCATTGGTGATCGCGTCGTTCGTGAGGTTGATGTGGTTTCTGAGGCCTTCAACTTTGGATTTCTGGGCGATCAGTTTGGAGCCGCCGATTTGTAAGATCTTATCCTCGACTTGCTGCAGAGAAGCTTCAATCTGACTGGCTTTCGCCTGTAGACCTTCAAGATCCGACTCGAGTTTCTGAAGGTTCCTTTCGAGGGTCTGAATTCGAGCAACGTCGTTCTTGTCGGGCTTACTATGCGCTCTGTGGTCGCAGGACGTGAGAATTTCTGGAAACGCATAATGAAAAGTAGTACCAACCTCAAGTCTCTGAGCCGTTTCTCTGCTTCTTCAATTCGAAGCTTCGACTGCGAGATGTCGAGACCGAGCTTCTCGAAGCGCAAGTCGATTTTGGGGGCAGCACGAGTCAGTTGCTCCAGCTCGCTTTCGGCACTGCGCACCGCCTCCGTCGCCTCTTGGAGCTTCTTCTGAGCTTGATCCCTTTCTTGCTCCAATTCCTGCAGTTGGCGAGGACTGACCGACTCCTTGGTCAATTTTGAGCTCATTCCACCCCTAGCAGGGGCACCTCCTCCACCAGACATGGCCCCAGAAGTTTCGATGACTTGACCTGCCAAGGTCACTACCTTTGTCCGTTTCTCTCCAAACGCAATACGATTAGCTTGATCCATGTCGTTCGCGACCAGCGTATCACCAACAGCTTTGTAGAAGACTTGCGCAAACTTGGCACTCTTGGGAGTAATAAGGTCAAACAGCCTCGGAGCATTTTCCGGAGTGCGTCTAGTAGCAAGTGCCGATTCAGGAAAACTAATCTTTTCGAGCACCATGAACGTCGCTCGACCAATATTCTGAGAACGGAGATACTCTAGACACTTTTGGCCTTCTTCCACGGTGTCGACAACCATATTGTTTAAACTCGGGCAGGCGGTAGTGATAGCGACGTCGTACTGCTCAGGAATAGTGCCAAGGCTACCCAGACGACCCTATAAGGGAAAAAAAAAATTACCCAATAGCCGGAATTGAGAAGCAACAAAAACATACATGAAAGCCAGTGATTCGTCCGGAATCTCGAAGTCGGGTTAGGCTCTCGAGGACCTTACCCTGGGATCTGCTTTCAGCCTGAGATGCTTTGGCCTCAAATACTCGCTGTTGCGAAGAACCCGCTTTCGCTCGCCACTCCTTCTCGGCAGCTTGCGCTTTCTAATTTTCCGAGCAGCTCAGAGACGAAACAAATAAACAAAGTGAAGAGCGTGCTTACGGTCAGTTTCTCTGTCACAGCCTGTTTCTTAACGTTGAGCTCGGCCATTTCGTGTTTAGCTTCTTCAAGCAACTCGTTCTTCTCCTTCCGGTCCTCTGTGACCTTTTTGAGATGCTCCTCGGCTTCCTCGAGATCCGTTTGGACAGCTTTGACTCTCCCCATCAGCGCGTCCCGTTCACCCCTAGCGACATCAATTTCCTGCTGTTTAGTGTTGATTTTAGCAGTCCAAGGCTGAAGGTCTTTCTGCAAAACCTCCTTCTGCTCGTAGAATTTTTGCGTTTTATCTTCAGATAGAGTTAGTTCATGCCACGACTATCGATAATCGAAAAAAGATCAACCTCGAAGACCATCCTGGATTTCTTCCAAAACCTTTTCCTCTTCCACTAGCGACTCTTCATATTCTTCCAATTTCCTCTTCTCTTTGACCACTTTCTCTTCGCTGTCCTCGATCGTATGTTTCGCGGCTCTGAGGGCGGACTGGGCCTGAGAAGGAATAAATTTTTGCTCCAGCGGTAGTCAGGAAAATATACTTGCATCGTTGACACTCTTCTTGAGCTTTTTGTACTTCCCAGAAGCGTGCTTCCTCTTTTCCGTCAAACCAATTTCTTGCTTTTCGTTTTCGGCCACTTCTCTGTTTACTTCGGCAAGTTGGCCTTGGATATGCTAATGCCAACTTTAGTACAGTGAACTTCATAGAGGAAACGGAAGATGCTCACCTTGTATGCATTTTCCTGCTCTTTATACTGAATTTGAAGCTGTTCAAAGAGTTCGATGTTTCCCTGATTCTTAGCCTTCTCAGCTTCGAGCTCCGACTCGGCCTGGGCCTGCAAAGTTTACGAGTCAAATAAATCCGGCCAGGAGGATGAAAGAGGAGTATACCTGTTGCCCTTGAATTTTCCTCTCCTTGTTCAGCGTCTGCCATATGTAGAACTGGAATAGTTTCGACTGCGCTAGTGTCAACTTGTTTTGGAGGCGTAGATAGTCTTCTGCTTCCTTCTTCTTTTCCTCCAGCGCATTCTTCTCCTTCTCCACTATGCGCAGACGGTTCAACTTCTCCTGACGCGAGTCCTGCAGGTTTTCGAGTTCCACAAACGCCTCTTCAATGGGTTCCTTGTATTTGGAGGTGCCGATAATGTCCTCTAGATATTCGAGAAGACCATCGTCATGCTCCCCGCCCTTGGGCTTCATTTGTGCGATCGACTCTACTTCGCCCTGGATACATTATATCAGCGTAATCCATTTCAGAATACTGAAGGACAGACCTGTAGAATCAGGAATCGCTTATGATCCAAGTCAATTCCGCGTCCCTTCAGTAAGGTTTGAACAGCGCTGTATGAACTAGTGCATTCATTGATAGTATACTTGCTGCTGTTGTCCTTATAAGCATGTCTGGATACGACAAGATTGGAATCAGGAACGATTTCAAATTCATCCGGGCCAGGCTAAAGCGTAGTTGGCGAAAAATGTGGCGGGGGAAGAAGAGCAGGGCTTACCTTGTCAATGATTTCACGGAAGTGAATTTCAACGGAACAGTGGTCAAGATCAGGATAACGTGCAGAGTTGTGAATGAGCTCGGAAAGTTTGCCTTGTCGCATTTTAGAGGCGCGGTAACCAAACACAAAAAGAAGTGCATCGATGGTGTTGGATTTTCCTGAACCATTGGCACCGACGATGGCAGAAAAAGACTGTAGATAGTGGTCAGAAACGGTCGGACGAGCTGATAGTGGAAGAATACCTTGTGGAAGGGACCAATTACCTGCCGACCGGCATAACTTTTGAAGTTGACAAGAGCAAGCTTGTGGATAACTAGTCGCGGTCGAGGGCCTTTGGGTTCCTCAGGAATGACCTTGGCTTTGGAAGGAGACGAGGGCAAGACAGGCGGGTGGTCCATCAAGAGTGACTGCTCCTCTTCTTC